AACTTTAGATATTAGGGATCTCTATTATTCCATGGAACAGACTGAGCTGCTGATGGTAGTAAAACATTGGTGCAAACAAAACTTGGTAAAATTCCAATCCGCGTCAGAAATTGATGTGGTACTCCAATCCTGGGCCCGTTTGCTCGAAGCACTAACCGCGGCTAAAGTTAGCCGCAGTACCTAGGAGGGGGATTTTGAGATCACGTGACTGGCTCGGTAGGGATGCGGGGAAACATGGCGGTGCCCTAGTGAGTGAGCGCCGCTCGCTTTCGAACTAATATGTCGTTGTGGTTGCAATATCGGGCGCGTTAGTCAGCAACGAATGGTGCAGGAGGCTTTCGCTTTGCTTTACCTCACTTAAACCGCAAAGCATGGGTAATGAAATCGCCGCATTTTTTAGATAGTGTTTCGATTCTGGGCACTCCTAAGCCTAAATGAACGCGATAATTGTCGGCATAGCAACGTCTTTGGAAAGCGGATTGTTGATAGCACGTACACAAAAGCAGACGGCGTCCCAACAGACCTTTTCTCTAAATTATCCTAGCACCGAGGTGCATGCTACGACTTTAGTTGCACGCGTCGCACGTGCTGGCGTCTGCAGTAGTAACCATTCTGAAGCAAAAAGTATAAAACAAATTTTGCCTTGCACGCGCAATCGTTAAAGCCTTATTATGATTTTTTACTTCAAATCTTTTATAAGAGGAAGGTCAGCGCGCGTGAACCGTAGAATTACACTTCCAGCGTTCTCCTCGCGATGCTTGGATTATTTAGAAAAAAGTCTGTCGGGACGCTGTCTTCTTTTGTGCGCTATCAACAATCCGCTTTCCAAAGACGTTGCCATGCCGACAATTATCGCGTTCATTTAGGCTTAGGAATGCTCAGAATCGAAACATTTTCTAAAAAATTCGGTGATGTCATTGCCCATGCTTTGCGGTTTAAGTGAGGTAAGGCAAAGCGAAAGCCTCCTGCACCATTCGTTGCTGACTAACGCGCCCGATATTGCAACCGCAACGACATATTAGTTCCAAAGCGAGCGGCGCTCACTCACTGGGGCACCGCCATGTTTCCCCGCATCCCTACCGAGCCAGTCACGTGATCTCAAAATCCCCTCCTAGGTACTGCGGCTAACTTTAGCCGCGGTTAGTGCTTCGAGCAAACGGGCCCTGGAGTACTACTTGAGTTCTACGGTTGTTGAGTACAAGAAGTGCAATTTGTGTTTGTCCTTTGTCCCTCTTGTTCCCCTTCTCCAGGGATTATTTTCGAGATACAATAGTAAGGGTGCAGGCGAGCTGGTGGATGTTAACCATGTTGAATATACCTGAGACTGGGGTAGAAAAACATAAAAGTCGAAGAAACAGAACGGGACAGGACGTCTCAAACTCAGCTACCAGGTTTATTCAGTCCTCCTCCTTATATAGTCCACAAACAGCCCACCACCAACACAAAGGGGCAACTCTAACCAGTTCAACCGCCAAACCCTCCAGACAGTCACTACCAACACAAAGGGACAACCTCTAAACAGTCCAAACGCCAAACCCTGTAATTCCAAACTAGCGCTATGGACGGCCTTCATGCCGATTCACAAAGATAACTCAGCAATCTCCCCCAAAATATAACAAAAGGACCATTACCTCTTCCAAAGTAACAAGGATCCACAAACACATACAAAAAAACAACTTTTTTTTTTTTATTTTTTTTACTTAAATTCTTTTCCTTTCCTCCTCGACGAAAGGATGACACGCACTTAACGTAAAACGGTGCAAAGTTGAACAGTACAGCTTCCCTCTGTCCACCCAAAAAAAAAAAAAATATTGTTACGGTGAAAACGATGATGATTTATTTATAGCTGGGTAATGGCGGTAGACAGAGGATTGAATCCCTTGCTGCGAGCCCGCTGGCGATCCTCTACCTCCTCTTCTCTAGGCATCTCATGAGCTCTGTAATATTACCCCCCCTCCAAGAAGCCACGACGTCTCGTCGTTGAGCTACGTGGTCGTTGGGAGGATATATGGCTTGAGCCGTAGCACGTGCACTGTGTCCCTTTCCCTGCGACGTCTGTCATTTTGTTGCTCGAGGGGTTCAATGACATATGTAACGTCGCTCAACTGGTGATGTATCCGGTAAGGTCCTGTATAGCGGTGGAGAAGTTTGTCAGCAAGTCCGACATGACGTTGCGGTGTCCACAGCAATACAAGGTCACCAGGAGAGTATTGGATGTGTCGATGAGAGCTATCGTAGCGGGCACACTGGCGTTCTTGTGAGTCAAGCGTGCGTATGCGAGCTAATTGACGAGCTTCTTCAGCCCGACTTATGGCATCGGATGTAAATTCGGTGAGGGAAGCGTCTGGTTGGGGTGGAAGGAGGGAGTCAAGCATTAATGGTGGTTCACGGCCGAAGAGGAGAAAAAAAGGTGTGAAACCAGTAGTGTCGTGGCGGGATGAATTATATGCAAAAGTGACGTATGGCAGTGCATCATCCCAATTTCTGTGATTTGACGACACGTACATTGACAGCATGTCGGATAACGTTCGGTTCAGCCGCTCAGTGAGCCCATTGGTTTGTGGGTGGTAAGCGGTCGTCACTTGATGGCGGATCGAGCAGGCCTGCAGTACTTCAGACACAACGCGTGACAGAAAGGAGCGTCCACGGTCACTAAGAAGTTCTCGCGGTGCGCCATATTTTAATATGACGTCCTCCAAAAGAAACTGGGCCAGGTCGACAGCAGTACTGGTTGGGAGAGCGCGTGTGACTGCATAACGAGTGGTGTGGTCAATTGCTACTGCAATCCAGCGGTTTTCAGAGCGTGACGAAGGGAATGGTCCGAGGAAGTCAATCCCTAGACGATCAAATGGGCTGATCGGAGGGCGGAGTGGTTGAAGGAGCCCTGATGGCCTGATGGTTTGTTTCTTCCGACGTTGACAAAGGTCACATGAAGAGACATACCTCTTTACAGTTCGGTACATGTACGGCCAGTAAAAACGTTCCTTAACCTTTCCGTAAGTGCGAAGGATACCCAGGTGACCTGAGGAAGGTGCGTCGTGTAGTTCGTGAAGAACTATGGCCTGTAGGTGTTTAGGAATCACGACAAGCCATGGTAATCCTTCGGGTCTGAAATTCTGGCGGTATAGAATGTTGTCGCGGATACGAAAGAGTCCCGAGGACGGCTGGTTTGCATCAGCTGAGAGGCGTCTTATAAGAAGCTTCAGAGCTGGACCACGACGCTGTTCGTGAGCGAGGTTGAGGAGCTCTGATATCGGCAGAACTGGGAGTTCAGTTGAATCGGTGTTGTAGTTAGCTGGACTTACCGGGTAACGAGACAAACAGTCAGCGTCCTGGTGCATCTTTCCTGATTTATATACGATGGTGAAATCATATTCTTGAAGGCGGAGAGACCAGCGTCCAAGGCGACCAATGGGATCTTTTAATGACGAAAGCCAACAAAGGGCATGGTGATCAGTGATGACACGGAAGGGACGTCCAAAAAGGTATGGTCGAAATTTGGAGACCGACCACACCACTGCAAGGCATTCTTTCTCGGAAATGGTGTAATTCCGCTCAGCCGGTGAAAGTAGTCGACTAGCGTAAGCAATTACCGTTTCGTTTCCGAACTGATGTTGTGCGAGAACTGCTCCAATACCGTGACCACTGGCGTCAGTGCGAATTTCAGTGGGCGCCGTGTCATCGAAATGGCCGAGAATGGGGCTGGAGGTCAAAGCATCTTTCAGATGGGCAAAAGAAATCTGATGAGGATCCTTCCACTCGAAAACTTGATTTTTTTTCAGGAGAGATGTCAGTGGGAGTGCTATGTGTGCGAAGTCTCTGATAAAGCGTCGGAAGTAGGAGCAAAGCCCTAAAAAGCTCCTTACGTCTTTTGAAGAAAGAGGCGTGGGGAAATCTTTGACAGCCTTAATTTTTTCAGGGTCGGGTAGAACACCATGTTTGTCCACGAGATGTCCTAGGACTTTAATTTGTTGACTACCGAACCGGCATTTAGCTGAATTTAGTTGTAGTCCAGCTTGTTGAAAGACTGCAAGCACTTGGGTCAAACGGTCAAGATGTTTTGGGAAGGTGTCAGAGAAGATGATGACGTCGTCAAGATAGCACAAGCAAGTGACCCATTTTAGTCCCTTGAGTAGGCGGTCCATCATTCTTTCGAACGTTGCGGGTGCGTTACACAGGCCAAAGGGCATGACCTTGAATTCAAAAAGTCCGTCGGGCGTAATGAATGCCGTTTTCTCACGGTCGGCTTCATCAACGTTAATCTGCCAGTAGCCGGCGCGAAGATCAATGCATGAGAAATATTCCGCTCCCTGTAGGCAATCGAGAGTGTCGTCGATGCGTGGCAGAGGATATACATCTTTTTTCGTGATCTTATTTAACCTACGATAATCGACGCAAAAACGCCATGAGCCGTCCTTCTTTTTTTACTAAAACAACAGGAGAGGACCAGGGGCTGGACGAGGGTTGGACAATGTTTCGCGACAGCATTTTGTCAACTTCCTGTTGAATAGCGCGCCGTTCGCTTGGTGACACCCTGTAGGGACGATGGTGGATGGGAGGTTCGGAGCCGGTGTTGATTCGATGAGTAACTTCAGTTGTCTGACCGAGAGGGCGGCTTGTAAGGTCAAATATAGTATGGTACTTGCAAAGTACGCTGTGGAGTTGCCGTGCTTCGTCTCTGTTCAAAGTTGGGTCAATCATGGTGGAAATATAGGCAAGGTCAGTCTCCGAGAGTGGTTGAGGAGGTTTGGGTGGCAGAACTTCTTCAGCAATGACGGCGACGGTGGAGTCAAGAGTCGGGAAGCTGCGCGCAATTGTCATACCTTTGGGGAGAATTTGTGGACTGCGAGTGATATTAAGCACCCATATATCGGTGGCACCATTCTGGATGGCTGCAATGCAGTGTGGTACAGCGAGTTGTTTTTCAAGCAATATGTTCACAATAGGTGAGATTATGTAGTCACCGTCCTGGATTGATTGAGCGGTTGTGACATTGATCGCTACAGCCGACAATGGCGGTATGCGTGATGTTTCAAGACAGCACAGCGTTGCTCCAATGGGGTCTGAGACACCGCAGGCCTCTGTAGCATCGAGTTAAATTTCGCCTTTAGCGCAGTCAATGAGAGCAGAGTGAGTGGCCAGAAAGTCCCAACCAAGGATGGTTTCGTGAGGACAGCTTCTAAGGACTGTAAAAAGAACAAATGCGGTCTTGTGATGAAGGGTTATGCGAGCACCGCACATACCATGAGGAGAGATTGCGCCGCCGTCAGCACCGCGCAGAATTTTTGTGTCAGGTGGCGTCAGAACTTTTCGTAAGCGTCGTCTGAGGTCTTCGCGCATGATGGAAATAGCGGCTCCGGTATCAACAAGGGCAAATGTGCTAATACCGTCAATGTCGATCAGCAGTCGATTCTTGGCTATAGCGGCGATGCTTCGAGGAGGATTTTGGGCTGGGGACTCTAATGCAGCCTCACCTCTTGAAGCTGCATTGGTTAGTTTTCCGAAGGTCGAAGGTCATGGGACGGCGACAGTTGGCGGCGGATGACTGGAGATAGCGACTGGCGACGGCGCGGCGATGGCGAACGATTGTTGCGTGACGAGCGATAATATACTTGTTCATTCGCGGGGTGCCCGGGAGATGGCGAGAAGCTTCCCCTGTAAGGTTGACTGGAGCTGGAAAATGGAAACCTGGGCTGCTGGTTGCTCCATGGGTTGCGGCAATAGCGGGCGACATGACCAACCACGTTGCAGTGGAAACAAATTGGCCGATTGTCGGGTGTTCTCCATGCGGCTGGGTCCCGACGTTGGGGCGGTCTGAAGACTGTCGCTGCAGTTGGAGGTTCGCAGGGGCAATGATCAGAAATATGATGGTCAGCGGTGGGTTGGAAGCGGGGGCATGAAGAAGCGCAGAGCTTCTCCATTTCCTTCCTGACGACACTTTGAACAGCAGCTATTGATACTGTTACGTTCGGCGACTCGGAAGGGCGAGAGGAACCCTCACTAGGCATCATTGCTTCCAGCTCTCGGCGTACGATTTTGGTAATCTGTACCGAACTGGCATCTGTGTCTTCGCAAGATGATGTTGCTGGTGTGTTGGGCAAGCGGTTGAATTTGTGTGCTATCCTTCGTGTTTTAGCAGCTTCGAACCGGCGGCACTCCTTGATGACCTCGTCGACCGTCGAGCAGTCTTTGATTACAAGCAGCTGGAAGGCATCGTCTGCTATGCCTTTTAGGATGTGCTCGATGCGGTCAGTATCTGACATCTCAGGGTTAGCCTTGCGGCAGAGAGAGATGACGTCTTGTATATAGGTGACATATGACTCTGTAGATGTTTGTACGCGGGAACCCAGCTTACGCTTCGCAGACAGCTTACGCCCGGTGGGACGTCCAAAAAGGTCTTGAAGTTTGGACTTACAGAGTTCCCAAGAGGTTATCTCTTCCTCATGCGTTTCGAACCATGTCCGGGCGGTGTCTCGCAAATAAAAAATAATGTTCGCGAGCATGATGGTATTGTCCCATCGGTTATGCAAGCTTACTCTTTCATAGAGGTCGATCCAGTCTTCTATTTCCTGGTCGCCTGTGCCGGTAAAAGGTCCGGGGTCCCGAGGCTTTGTGAGGACTAAGGGTGGCGGGGGCGTAGGTGGAGCGCCTTCGGGTGGTGTCGCTCTAGGTGGAGTCATGTTGGATGCGGGCGGAAGACTCCTGCTGCGAAGGTCCAGGTCGGGGATGGGTCCGCACCTCCACCAAAGAATGTTACGGTGAAAACGATGATGATTTATTTATAGCTGGGTAATGGCGGTAGACAGAGGATTGAATCCCTTGCTGCGAGCCCGCTGGCGATCCTCTACCTCCTCTTCTCTAGGCATCTCATGAGCTCTGTAATAATATATATATATATATATATATACATATATATATACATATATATATACACATAAATATAACTATATTTTTAAAAAACTTTTGGAATTTTTACCGAACTGTAGCGACGCCTGGCTTATGCAATTACCTAAAGACTTTATTCGCACCGTCTCCCTTACTAGCCTTTTTGTATCATTCCTCTCCTTGTGAATGATTTCTGTCTCCGACCAAATAGCAGTGCAGTTGTTACATTCGTTGACATGTTTTGCGATTTCTGAGTTCGGTGCATTGTTCTTCACGTTTCTTTTGTGTTCACTTAATCTGTCCTTGATGCATCGTGATGTTTGTCCTACATACTTAAACCCGCATTCCAGTGGTATCTCGTACACCACACCATTCTCGCAATCTACCGATTTTTCTCGATGGTTCTTTCTGCAATTGTTCGCACTGTCGCACTTTCGACAAGGAAGAACTGGTCGTTCAAAGAGAGAGTGTGCGTATTGGTTCTTCGATCGCACCAATTTTGTCAGAAATTTCTTTGAACCATGCGGATCATCACGTCAATGATTTTGTAGCTTCCTTGCCAAATACGAAGGCTATATATAGTCCGAAGATTCGTAGGTAATATTTTGATTTGTGTCTTTGAGGGAACGTCGGTGCAGACGATCAAGCAATGTGTGCTGGATAAATGCCCTCGGTTAACTTTCACGGAGCAGCAGCCTGTCCATGGAGAAATTCAGTATTTGGATTTAAAGTTTATACCAGCAGTGGTCTCTGCTGGAGATATGGGAAAGAAGCGGCAAAGTTGTTACTGGCCGCCGACAGTTGCCATTCGAAAACTGAAGAGGGGTGTGATTGCTTCTGTTATAGGAAACACATGCAAAGAGTCTTGTGTACATTGGATAGAGAGGGTAATAACCTTGCAGTTGGAGCGCCTTTTGGAAGCCGGCTACAGACAGGTGGTTATATCCAGTGTGGCGTCAAAGGTGTTGGACAGGATTGTCTTTGCCCCTCCGGAGAAGACAGTGTTAAAAAATAGGGTGTCTGTTCCCTTTTATCATGCTATCTCACACAATGCCAGGTCTGTGGCGTCAAAGTATGATGTTAACGTTGTGTTTAAAGCGCAGAACAAGCTAGAAAGGTTGACGCCTTTTTCAGGGGCGGGTTTGGGGTGTACGAAAAAACACCGGGATCCCGCGGTGCCTTGTCAGGAAGAGGTTTTCTGCGGTGCGGTTTTTCCTACGTAGGACAGACTGGTCGCTGTTTAAACGATTTGATAATAGAGCACAAAAGGGCGGTTCAAAATAATGCACCGAACTCTGAAATTGCTAAACATGTAGTCGAATGACAACTGTATACCAGAGTGGGAGGGCACTGAAGTCTTACATAGAAAAAAGGATAGCCATAGGAGAGTGTTAAGAGAAACTATGCGTATTTTAAGCTCCCGGAACTGGATCAGTCAACCTTCATTATTCCTTGAGAAGGGACGAAAACGTTCCTAGGTTTATATATATATATATATATGGCATGATGATTGAAGCTTGTGGGCCGCGGTGATTATTGAAATACACAAAAAGATCCATGGACTGAACAAAAACATGGAAAGGGCCTCCATGGCAGCGACCATTCGGCCATAGAACTGCGCTACGCAGTCTGCTTACCACGCACGGGCCATTACGCTCGGATGCTTTCGAAGTTCGACCAAATGGACTTTGGTCACATGGCCCAACTCGCCCACCTGGCACCTTGGTGCATGACCACGTTAGGGCCCTGACTGGTCATCAAACTACGAACTGTGGTGCGATTTTCTTTTCGGCATTCAGAAAGACTCTGTTCCCACAACTGTGTGCTCGTCAAAACGGAAACGTGCACCCTGGATTACTTCCGACATAATTAAAGCCGCTCGCCATAAGCGAGCTCTCTTTCGTAGAGCGCATCGTTCCAAGTGCCCCACTGCACTAGAGTTGGCGAAGAACCACCAGAGAGCATTGCAGGCCACTATTTACCGTGCGTATCAAAAATATGTCCGCGACATTGCTGAGAAGGCCAGAACTGATCCTAAGATCTTCTGGGCCTACACCAACCGTCTGCGCTCAACATCCCAGCGACCCTGCTTCAAGCTGAACGGGAAAGTTGTAGACACATCCCAAAGTGTCGCCGATATGTTTGCTGATCATTTCTCAACCATAAACGGTTCTTCCGGCACCCCTCCTACAACAGCATGTGTGCAGCAAGCAACAGCTGCCCCAACTACTCAGCCAGTCGCAAGCAATGACAACCGGCCCAAACTCCCTTCAGTGACATTCAGCACCGAAGCGCTGCAAGCAGCGCTCTTTAAGGTCAAGAACTCCCGGACAGCGGGGCCAGATGGCATTACCCCCCTCTGGTTTAAGGTGTTAGCCTCGCAGGTGCTACCAACTACGTCCAGGTTGCTGCAGGGGATTTTCGACAGCGGTGTAGTTCTTGAGGAGTGGCGCCGAGGTCGGGTCTTGCCGCTTCACAAGGGGAAAGGAAAGCCTGCCGACGAACCGAAGCACTACCGCCCAGTCTCGATTACCTCGATTGTGTGCCGCACGTTCGAGCGGGTGCTGAACGCCCGGCTCCTCGAGTTCTTGGAGACGACCGGCTACCTGTCCGATTCGCAGCATGGCTTTCGCTGCAACCGTAGCTGCGAGACTGCCCTTGCCACGGTGACGCATTTCGTAAGCAATCACATAGACAATCGCGTCACTACATACCTCATTCAACTTGATTTGAGCAATGCATTCGATACGCTAAGCATCAAAATTCTAACTGAAAAACTCACTAGAGCTGGCATATGTGGCCCTCTTCTTGTCTGGCTCACAAGGTTTCTTTGCGGCCGGAGCCAACAGGTTTTGTACGGAGGTTCGTGCTCGGTAGCATCTGCTGTCTCGTCGGGAGTTCCTCAAGGCTCGGTGCTAGGCCCGACCCTATTTTTGCTGTACGTGAACGACATGCCTCGAAGTGACAACTGCCTTCTAGTTCAGTACGCAGACGACACGTCCATTGTGGCACCAGTCTCGTCGCCCGCTGGCTCTAACTGCTTTTAACTATATTTGATGGAAATTGAGAAATGGACACAAGCGCAGCACCTCCAGATCAGCGCGACCAAAAGTGGCGTCATTCGATTTACCAACAGTAGAAAGAGCGACAGTCCTTGTTACACCGTGGCCGGCTCTCCACTTGCAGTCTCCGATTCCATGTGCATTTTGGGCGTCACACTTACGAAAAACCTGGACTTTTCGGCCCACGTTGCGGGTGTTGTCTCGAAAGCCAGGAGAACACTAGGTTTTATAACCAGGGTCACAAAACCATGTGGACCGGAAGCTCTGCGGTTGCTATATACGGCCCTCGTTCTCCCAACGCTGGAATACTGCTCAGCAATCTGGTCACCCGCTCAGCAGCACCTTCGTGAACGGCTCGAGAGCGTCCAGCGTCGGGCGACCCGGACCATCTGGAGCCGGTCATCCGGTGCAGCGGACGTTTCCTACAACGCACGCCTTGGGGCACTCGAGTGGCGACCCCTCGGACAGAGGAGGTGGACATTACGTGTACGTGCGGTCTGTCGGCTGCTCGACGGGTCGCTTGCGGGGTCCCACCTCGCGTCGGTGGTGCGTGTCAGCAAAAAGACAGGTCAGCCCGAGCCGCTCCGCGGCCGAACCACTTGCCATAGCGAATCTTTCATCCCCGCCGCCATCAGAGACTTTCTAACTATTCCACTAAACGCTCGCAACCCTCTACCGGCTTCAAATGATGAGTCCCGAGAACTGTGCAGGCTCTTCTCCCATCAAGTGGCGTCGGAGACCTCATGAGCTGCGGCACCATAACCACTGTTGTTGCTTTGCTGTTTTGTTTTGACTATTTATACTTTCCCAAATTGTTTTTCCCCTTTTCCTTTCCCCCCATCCAAGGTGTATGCGGCGACCGGCTAGCAGGCGCACAAGCGTAAGGGTTGTTACCTCTCTGCCTAGCCTCGCACGTCGTCGCATATACATCATACTCCTTGTGAAAATAAATTACAATTACAATTACAATTGACGTTTCGAGAGGAGGCCTTTCTTCTTCAGAATGACCATCGGGGAAGATCGGTAAAATTTTTCTCTAGTCCCGCAAAAAAGAAAAAAAAATTGAGTTGGGCAAGGGCACGGCGTAAGATAATTTCCTCCAGGTGGGGAGAGCACACTCCCCGCGGCGTGCGAACAAAGGTCTCCCTTCACTCTCTCTCTCTCTCACTCTCACTACGGTTTCCAGCGGCGCCGGCAGGCGGCCCGTCGACCCGTGAGCACGTACAGCCTCGCCGTCTGGCCGCTCCAATTTAATTCTTGGGTTCGTTTTAAGATTTAGATGTCAATGACTTGAAGTGGTGTTAGTATGCCGGGATCTTCGTTAATCCCTCTTCGCAGTGTGTTGAACTCATGAATTAGGAATGATTCCTTCTGTTCCCGCTCGCGATGTGTACCAAATCCGGATGATGATGATGTTTGGGGGTTTTATGGCGCAACAGCTACGGAGGCCATCCTGCGCCAAACAAAATTTAAGAAACCAGCTGTTATTGTTAACGAGCTACAGAATAATAATTACCGATGTAGGGTTAGACCTTATTAATAAAACCCATGCTTGT